GGCCAGCCGATCAGCCGGATTCATTGGAGGAATTCAAGGTAACTCCTTTTACAACTTCTCGGGGAAGGCTTCTGCGTCTTCATTGCTGGGGTCCTCATGAGAGTTGAGAAGATGGCACTGGGCATGGGTGTCTTACTCTTTTTTGCTTTGATAGCAATGACATGCAGGATTAATTCTTTTTTTTTTTTTAACCTATTCATTAAGATTTTGAAACTCGGCACTTGCCAACCCAGACGTTTAACTCCCAGCCCTTCCCCTTTCCCGCATCCATAGGCCCTAAAGCAATTGGAAATGCAAAATTCTTCTCATGTGAGATTCTTTTTTCCACTCTCAACCCTAATATTTCAAAACTAATCAATAGACCCCACAAGTATCTGTTGCAGGATCCACGTGAGTGCTCACCTTGAGTTCTTTAGTCACAAGGGGGAAAAGGAAGAACCTAGAGCATGCGTTGCTTCAAACAAAAACTCCACGTCCAGATCCACCTTGAGAAACCCAGATGGGAGCAGAGAGTCTGGGGGGTCTATAGGTGTTGTTTGCACTGAGAAATGAGCAAGCGCAGCAGCCTGGTGCTGGAGTTTTCCCCCTTTTCCCCTCCCATCCGCTGGCTGAGCTGCTCGTGGGACATTCCCTAGCCGATGTCAGCGTGAAAACGGGCAAAGACCTGACGTGTGTGCAGGAGGCAGACGAGCAGTTCAGCTGGCGGGACGGAGGAGCCGCAACCTCTTCGCCTGGCACAGCTGGAGCTGAGGGCAGACAGATGTGCAGAGCCCAACCCCGCTCCACACGGCGCTGCAGAGATGCACCGTGAGAGGTGACCCCCCCCGCCCCCAAGAATTTCTTATCTAAGTGGCAGGGATGTGCGTCGAGGAGAGGTGACAGTGACGGATGCAGGAAGCAAAGCCGGGTCTCTTTGCTCCCTGGCTAGAAGCCTAATCGCTGCACTCTGCTGCTGCTGCTATTTGTAAAACGTCTCGAGATGCTCGGGTGGAGGAGGGCATTACCGATACGGAAAGAGGACGCGAATGCTAATGGAGGAGGCTGTTAGTGGGGTGGACTTGCGGTTGACTGCAGCTTGGAAAATGGCCTCAAGGGGAAATGTGCTCAGCGTGCATTTGTGAGCTGTGCTTCTAGTTTGTGTTTTAATTCGGCTCCTGGAGCCGAGCTGAGTCGCCCACCGTTGCCTGTGGGAGCTGCAGCGAGCTGGGCCGGATCGGACAGACCGGGTTGGGCAAACTGCTTCCGTCCCGTGCTCCGTTACTCCCAACTCAAGTTAAACATCTCAACGCATCATACTCCTGCGCTGCAAACTCCTCTTTTGCTTTACCCATCGCCCTGCAACCGGCCCTCCCGCAGCAGGCAGCGGTTTCTCTGTGCCGAAGTATCCGCTGAGGACTTTATCGATTTTTATTTATCTTTTTTTTTACTGTCGCTTTTAGACTACATTTTCAGCCAGCCTTCTCATCCAAAAGTACACCCTAGCTGCGTATTTTCCTTTGGTTTTCGGCCGTCGCCCTGTGAAAGGTGGCAGAGGTGGATTCGGAGAGGACGGAGGCAGGTTGCTGGCGGGGGGTTTCCAATAACGGGACCGCAGGAAAGGTGAAAGCGGTCCGTGCTCCTGCACGGTGAGCTCAGAGCTTTGCAATCTGCTGGAGCTGTGATGAAGGAAGTGGGGAAAACTGCTCTTAAAAAATACCCGGTAGGTGGGCTGGGGGGAACGGGTAACTCCTTGAGTGCTTCCAGGCAGCGCCGCACCGGCTGCAGCGTGGCAGCACTTTAGCTGGATGCGGGCAGGACCGGTGCCAGGGATGTCCCGGTCTGCGCAGCGTCAGCCCATGAGGGCCATGAGAAACAACGCAGCCCTTCCTAGAAATGCCCTCCGGAGCTTAAAAGATGGACCTAATTGAAAAAATATATCGAGGTTGTACCAGGGGATAAAAGGGAAAGCCGGGCTCAGATTAACCTAGAGCTCAGCGAGAGCAGAGAAGCGCGGCGGCCGCGGCCAGGTCCCTAAACCAATTCCCAGCCACGGCCTCCCAGCCGCCCGCTGAATCCATGCCCGGCAGGGAGGCGGTTTGCCCTGGACGCAGGTCTGGCAGGAGCGCCCGGCACGCTCTGGTTTTGTGCTTCAGGTACGTGCTCGCTTTCCGCTTTGCTTCCTACCCCTCCGCCACGGCAGCTCCTGGCTC